GGGGGGGGGGGGGGGGGGGGGGGGGGGAGTTTTCCGCCAGCGGTAAACAGGGAGCATAGGTACCCCTTCACCCTCCACAGGTGTGAAGCTCCGAGGCGGAAACACCGGGCCAATACGAAAGGAGCTTGTGAGATCATGGTGTGCCTGCCATGGTCACGTCTGCCGACCCACACGTCTGGCGGAGAGACATGGTACTACCCGTCGGACAAACAAATGGGACCCAGAAATGACGCCAAGCGAGTGACAACTCGTTGTCCAAAAATGTTCACACAATAATGTTTCGGTTGTAGGACAGATAAGAGCAAGCACACCATCTGCAGTAAGACACAAAGAAACAGCTTCTATCTATATTACCCAACGTCCATCAACCTAAACGATTCCCAAGGTCGCGATGGTGGAAATTGACCACACAAGCACGCATGCACACACCTTAGTCTACTGGTACTACTACCTTTGTTTTTTCCCACTTGGCGCGACACACAACACACGCAACCTCTCCCTTACATAAAATACATAGGCAATGGACAGACTGGATAGGATGCGCGTATCACCTTCCCCTTACATATTACCACCACTATCATACCACCAAAAACAAAACGGCGCGACTCGCACGGAACCATCTCGTCACAAACCACAGATAAAACAAAATTACCCCGACCGCGGCGGGTTTTCCAAAGACTCCCGTTTGCTTTTTGGCATCTTGTTGGAGGCAGAAGAAGATTGTGGTCGGCTACTTGTACTACTGCTACTCGCGGGAGCTGAGCCCGCATCATCATCAGCAGCAGCGCGCCGTGCACCCCCCTTGACCACGGGCGCTCCTGCTCGCCCTCCCTCCCCTCGCCGACCCTTGGCGCTGCTCGACGTACGCCTTCGTTTCGAGACCCGGTTCGACACGACGGCGCTTTCACCACCATCCCCTTCCAACACAATCTTCCTGACACCACCACCACCGCCTCCTTCTGCCTCTTCTCGCCCCCTTGCCCTCGCCGCTCCTACTGTCGCCGAGCCCCCGCCTGACGGCTGCCTAGCCGCCGCCGGTCGTCGCGCGTTACCACTACTAGCTCCAGGCGAAGCGCTCCTCCTCTGTGTAGGACCGGCGCCAACGTCGGCGGGTGGTGACGGCCTTGCGCCGGTACCCCGACCATTCGCGTCTGTTCCTCTCGCTCTCGTGGCTGCTGAAGCCGAGGCCGACGGCGGCGGGACGGACTCCTTTCGTGCTCGCGCGTCTCGCTGCGGGCGGCTGGTCGTCCCCGCTACTCCCCCTTCGCCACCGCCCCCGCTGCTGCTGCCCCCGCCGCCGCGGCCGGTACTGTTGAAGCCTCTCGCGTGTCTCTTGCCTGCTTCAAGCGCCGCGGGCCTCCTTTGGTAGGCGTCCGTCAAGGGTCGGTCTAGTGCCTCTACCTCCTCATCTCCCTCGTCCAAGGAGTACTGCTCTTTCTCTGCTTCAAGTGCGGCCTGGACCACCAACAGGAACGCACAGCGTGTCGGGAGGAAGGGGCGACGGGAGTTGCGGATAGGTGAGCGTCAGGGCCATCATCAACAGCGGCAACGGCGGCGCGTCCAGGTTGTGAGGTGGGACGCAGATCTCGATACAGATCGGCTTGACTTGACGCAAGGAAGCGACGGCTTCTACGCCTCCACCTATTCGCCCAACAGAATCTGCGCAATTCTCCCAGAAAACAAAGCAAAAACGTAACATCACATCACTTCGTCCTCCTCACAACGAACAGACTTACGCCTCGACCCATCGCTTCTCCTGGAGCAAAGAACGACCGAAATTCAACACACGACCAGCTCGAAGATGGGCAAGGCCACCGAGCAGAAGCCCTCCCCAACACACCAACATATGCCCAAAACCATGACCACCTCGGACGCCCGCCCGGGCCACCACAGACCCAACAAGAAAAAGCCTTCCAGGTGGTTGGTACCTATACTACGTCTTTTTTTGCTCTCGCCTGCTCTTCCAGTGCCACTTCCTCATCGCGCAGCTTGAGCACGAGAGGCGTCGCCGCCAGGGGGCGCACTGCGACCAGCTTGTGCCGCTCGGCGAGCTCGTTGGCCCGGTCTATCAGCGCCTCGACGGGCCGCTGGTTCTCATAGAGGAAGGCATACCAATCTTCCACCTCCGCCCGGTAGGTCGACCTTGCGTCCCACTCCCTCGCTAGGTAGTCCTGGGGAGGAAGGGGTGGAAGGCGTCCCGCAACAACAGCGTCGACAAAGAACCGGTGGGTGGGAAACCTTGCGTGAGAGGCCCGCCCGCACGGAGCGAGCGCACCCTGTGAGTTCAGTCCCCACACACAACATGGCACCATGGCATGGTACGGGACAAGCGCTCTTTAGAATAGCTGCCTACACTGGGTGGGAATGTCGACGAGCGTAGCGTAGAACGTGCAGCGTCTGCACACAGTTAGCTATGAACCGCAACACAGCAGTTCTTCAGCAAATACATCCAAAAATTAAGTTGGGGGACGCGTGACACTAATTCGTGCCAAATATGACAATTCCCACATCTACCGCCGCTGTCCCTCCCGCGTGTACCGTCTCCATCCCCCTTCTTACAAGTTGCGCGGCGCAGACCTCCACCAGATCGCGAATATCGTGCGCCACCTGCACCACCGCCGCCACGGCTATGGCGCCCTCTTGCTCCTCGTGGAGATGGCAGCACTTCGACCCCACAGACACCAGCCCTGCCACCGCCGTCATCACCTCCCCTCCCCCGAGAAGCATCGTGAAGGCATCCTTTGGAACACCACGCCATCAGACAAGGCAAGAAACATAAAAAGCGGGGGGAAGCGTCACGAAAGGCACACATCATCTCACCCGAAGGAGTGGCGCATGAAGACACACACGACAGAAAAAACGGTCTTTGATTAAATTTAGGTAGCACAACTGCCGGTCGAAAAACAACCACGGCGAATGGCGGTGGTGGCCAAACGAAACGCACAAGCCAAAACACGGCTTTGTGTTCTGCTCCGCCGGTTCATGCCATCGCCTGCTCACCACTCAAACGACAAACGAAAGGACCGGGGTTCGATTGAATCAGCGCAATCCCTTGACTTGTAATCAAACGTGAGAACACATTCGACAAGCCGGACAACCGGGTACGAGTCCCGGGACCGTCAGGCGAACAGAAACAAAACACAGAGTGCCTTTTGGGGGACCATGGCTTTTCACCCTCTCAAGGCTGGCGGTCTGTTCTATCGCCACCCGGGAGGCTCGGTCGAGCATACACGCATACACGCACACGGCAGTGTCTGCCATATTTCACACGGGGAGGTTGGGTCCCCATCTCAACTGCCCTCCGGGCGCCCCCCCCTACCGGAGGACCCTGCGGAATAGAGAGCGCGATTTTATTATTTCCTCAAGGATAAATGAAACGTCCTTTCATTCGCTGGTCGGTCCATCAGATCAATCGCGATGTCCATCGAAGAACACACACACACCAACACACGCCTAGAACTTCTCTTCTCACCAAGAGCTCCGCGAAGCCCGGGCCGAACTGAGTCGTCCTCCGCAGCACGAAGTCGGCGTATCCTTGCAAGAACTCCGCCATGGGAGCCACGTCCTCGCCGGACCACGAGGGCGCCTTGACGTCGCAGATGGTGTCCATGTCGAAGTAGTTCACCTATTGGTAGCAGCAACGAGCAAGTGTGTCATGGGGAAGAGCGTGCGGCGTGAGAGCGAAGAGTGCCAGTGAGACGTCTACAAAGATCGCGGGTAGGGGGGTCCGCAGCGACATGCTAACTGCTCGACAGACCTTGGTACAACCCCCAACGCGTGGTGAGGCGTGCGCGGCGGGAGAAAACGTCACGCCCTTCGCGAGGGAGAACAAAGAGTAGGGCGTATCTCTTCCCTTCCGATGCGTACCTTCCTCCGCGAGTCGTGGTGCGTCCTCAGCACCGCCACCGACTCCTTGAGGTTGGAGGCGTGCTCGATGCTGCCGTCTGCCGCGAAGCGATGCAGGATGTACAGCGCCTTAGCCGATACCCTCCATTCCTTATCCGCCATCTTCGACCACAGCTTTCTCACCTTTTGGGATTCCGAGGGATATTGCCGGGTACATCAAGGGAACAGAGGGTATCGACGGCACCAGTCAAGCAACACACAGATACCCTAGCCAGGGCATCGATTCCTGGATTGTGTTTCCACAGAGAGCGGAGGGATTAAATTAAACCTTCGAACGGAGACCAATTTCCCGCGAATTTCGAAGGCTGCATACGCTGCTGCAAACATGTGGCGTACCAGTGCGCAAGAGTTTGCAGGCACGGGGAGTCGCATACCGCACACACACGACCATTCAATGG